GTGGGCTGGCATGCGCAACATGTGGCAGAGCCATCGGAGCCTGGTGCGTGCAATAACGGTTCTGAGCGATTCGCTTCTTCCTCCTGTGCCATACACAAGGCGTCGAATACGCTCATTGCTCACACGGTGCTCATACTAGATATGAGCCACACTGCGAAGGAACCAGCCTCTTTATGTCGACTGATGTAATGCGCCAGATTTCACAACCGTACAGTAGAGTCGAACGTACACCTGCAATGTACACCCTACCCTTCATAGAGAGAGATGTCCGGCCGGCGCCATAGGTGGCGAAGGTAAGCGAAAGTGCCTCGCGTTTTGTTACATGGGTTATGACCTCGTCTTCACTTCCAACACGGTTGATAAAACTGCCAAGATAGTTGAATTTTTGAACAACTTCCAGCTGATCCCCACCAAGGGTCAGTGCAGGCGGTTTTTGCCAATCATGAAAAAAAGCTCTGCAATTCGAAGGTGCAAAGCATAGTCCGGAACGTCTGACAGCCAGTGCTAATTTCTCCAGTGCATCTTAGAACGTTCGGGAGCTGTCAAAGCTGAGGGCAATATCGGCACACAAGAAGTCGTTCACCTAGGCACAACTCCGCACCTTCGAATTCGTGTTCTATGAAAGTGATTTCCATAACTTCGCCAATAGCGATGTTGAAGAGGAAATGCAACAGCGAGCATCCTTGTCATACACCGCTGGGGTTAATGAAGAGCGGCAACAGCTCTCCATAAGTCCTCACTCCGTCCGAGCTACGCGCGTAAAGCGCTCGTACAATATTTACCTAATTCTCCGGCACACTTTTCCTTAGCATACAGTGCCAGAGGGCGTACCGATCCCCCGAATAGAAGGCTCCGTGCATGTCGAGAAACACGACAACGGTGGGACACAAAAACATGTGACAGTGCTCCAACAACTGACGCAATGTGAATAGTAATCGATGCATTCCTGACCACGAGGAAAATTGACCTGCTCCCCACGAATCTGGCTTTCACGAGTGCCGGTCAGTCTGTGAAGGATTACAGATGCAAGTAATTTGGAGGCGATGGAGATCAGAATGATTCCTCGATGGTTGCCGCATTCCGAAAGCGAGCCTTCTTTGAAGATTGGGACAATAACCGGCAGGCGCTAGTCGGTTGGGACAGTTTCCTGTTTCCACATTTTCATCAGTAATTCGTGTAAATCACCAATAACAGCAGGGCCCACGAATTTGAAGAGGGCTGGGTGAAGACCATCTGGTCCCGCGGCTTTATTTACCTTCAACAGTCCGATCTCACGTTCGACTTCGAAGCGAGAGGGTAGGTCCAAAGGGACACCTAGGGAGCATAACGATCACTGGTCGGTGATGAATCTAACAATGCATTGTAAAATGCTCAGCCCAACGTTTTGACAAGTTTTGGATAAGCTGTCCACTATCGTCACGCATAGCTTTAATGACACCATGGCTCCTGCTACCCGTATCAAGCAGAATATCTTCCGATGATTATTAAGAGAAGAGGCCACTTCCATCCCTGATCACCAGGAATCGCGACCTCTCTTCAAGCTAGCACAAAGTATTGCCCTGATGTCTGTGAGGCTCGTTATGTTCGCTTCTAGTCGGAATGTGCCGGCTAAAGTCGATAAGTTTCAGAGATTGCGAAGAGACCCTGTGTCTATTTTGGCTAGTAGACTTACCAAATGACGATTTACCTACTTCTAGTAAGGTCTGGTGAACATGCGACTAGTGAACAACTGTAGTCAGTGAGCGCTTGCTCAACCCGAACGTCCGCGTAATTAGATAGACATTCAGAACACCTGACTTCGCCAGTTTGCTGGTGTCTATGCGCTCATAGGGTAGTCGACTGCGATCGCCAAAACGCACCCGCACATCAGCACATACAAGTGCATGGTCAGTGTCCACACATGTGCTCCAAATCGAGCGACAATTTTGGACACAGCCTCTCCAGCGAAAACTGATAGCGATGTGATCGATTCCCGTCTATGACTGGTGGGCGCCAAGTCACCCTCCGGCGGGTGATGTGTCGGAAGTTAGCGCTCGCAAGTAATAAGCGGGCATCCTCACACAAACGAAGTAAATGCTCACCGTTATCATTACGGGAGCTTACACCATGCTGGCCGCCCAGAGGCATCTCATCAGTGGACAATTTTCCAAATGGAGTGTTCAGATACCCAGACAGCACTAGTGCCCGTGCTTCTTCTGTGGCGAAGGAGCTCGTTCAGTTGGCGATAAAACTCGTCTTTTACTAACGCGTCGCTACAGTTTGTAGGCGCGTATGCAGAGATGACTAACATACACCTAGTAGCCTCGTGTGACTTCGAAACCTTGAAGGAACCAGACAGTGAGAAAGCACACGTAAGGCTACTGATTGGGATCCAATCCCTCAGAGCAGCTACAGCAAACGGACTCAAGGAAATACTAACACCGGCTTGGTTGGTACTCGAAGCTGCATCATCTCTATATAGGCGTAATGAGAAGGCACTGCTGGGGTCACCTGAAGGGGATCGCAAAACGAGCACAGAACTCCAGTCTTGTAGACGGGTTTCCGATAGGCAGCAGATATAGATAGAGAGGGTGTCTAATGTTCGGGCAAGCGCTGCCTATTGACCGATCAGTAACAGTGTGCGTATGTTGAGGCATGCGAATCTGAGGGATGAGCGAGGGCTCCAAACAGAAGTCGATGAACTGGGCTGGACAGCTTGGTTCGACATGAGCTTGTTGATAGGGCAAGAGTGACGCTCCGTGTTTGCATGAGTTGAAACTAGAAGTTAAACACCTATCAAAGCATGGCGGGGAGTGGCCAAGAATTGGGGGTTGAAAACAGGGGGATAAAAGTGAAGTTCGAACGGGACGATAAGCGTGAAAAAGCGCAAGAGGGGGAATAAGAAGACGGAAAGGCTTGAGCAGTAACATCTAAACCCCTACCTACCCTGCTCGATACAGTAGATAGGGTACCGTTGATGATTCACTGCGGTGGACAGAGCATCGGGAAATTGTTTGAGGAAAGACTCCTAGTATTGCGAGACCGACCAACACCGTCCAGTTTGGCAGTCAGTGACTTCATTTCCCACTCCTAGTTAATTTTGCCCACGAGCTTTCCACTACCCTACATTTGGTAAACGGTGACTGGGTATGCCTATCTGTTGTAATAAGGAACTAGCCTGATTATCACTGTCTTGCAGTCGCCTATGCCCATCATCGTTGCGGACACACTGGTGGCATCCGACAGCAGCAATGATCAAAGACTTGAAGGCTACTCAAATCCCCACTAGTATTGAATTGGACGGCCCTCACTGTGACTTTGTAAACTCGGCCTTTCATACCGAAGGAAACCCCACTTCTGACACCACAAATGTCGCTGATTAAAGAAGGCAAATTCAGCATTGTTGGTTAAACACGGCCAGTCCATTAACAACGTCAGTGCGAAGAGGTCAGATCTTGATACACAAAGTAACCACACCTGAGCGTCGCAAACTCTTCCTCTAACGGACACGCTTATACTCGCCCAGTAAAATTAATAACCGAAAATTGGGAAAGGCACAAGAACCCTAGAAATGCGTGCTGTAGCCTCTCCGGTGGTGTAAGCACTAGAGCTGACATAGTGAACTGGTCAACAACTTCAAGTGGTCACTGTACGACAAGGAAAACAGGTAATGTACCAGCCCAAACTCAGGATGGTGCTTTGAAATTTGCAGGTGCAGAGCACATACCGAGGCATGCAATCTTGTCTTAGTAACTGTGCGCCTCAAAGAATACTAAGTGGTCCGCGTACTCTAGTCTTATAGCCGGTCACCGAATGTAACTTTGGTCCAGCGTAAAATAGGAGCACTACGAATGACCATGAAACAGAAATACGAAAGGAGTGTGCAGAACAACGACTGCATATCGGCTGGTAAGCTTACCGTACAGGACGCAAGCACACAGCGAACAGGCTGAGAAGTAATTCCACTTCGGGTTGATGCAAGAAGTCCACCAAATTGGTACACCGATTCCATGCCAAAGAGGGATCAGGTGGATTCAAAATACCAAGGAGGCCTCTCAGATGGTAGGACGGTAAACGAAGCAATTGCATAAGCAAGAACAGATGATCAACTGGGCGACAAGATCGCAACAATGTTCCAGCCTGTGGGTGTAAACAGAGTGTGCAGAACAAAAGCTAATCGAATCAAAGAGAATTGGGGAGGGTCGGTTGGAAAATGGAGCTCAGGACTGTACTTGCGGTCGATATGGAGAGTGCGAATATAAAAAGATTCCTTAGTACTACCGGATACATCGACGGGGTTGGAACAACGGCGTATTTACAGTGAGTAGACAGGAAACGGTGGTAAACAAACAGCTGCAAACGGCGAAGATGAACAACAGGCTAGGAGTGAAGTTGATGTACAGCGGCAATGCTAACAGCATAATCAAGCAGACAAACTAATCCACACGCACGTGAATAAAAAAAGTTAAAATTTTCTATTGAGTAAAACGTATTCCGTTTTCAGAACCGATGTATTGGTGGTAGCCAGTGGTAGAATTGTTCAAGCGCCTGGTCCGTGATCCACACGGATGGCCGACTAAAGGCTGTGAACGTGTGCAACCGCGAGTGGTTGCTGTTACGTCCGTCGATGACATTGATTAGTTAGCTCAGCCATACTGCGTTCTTATTGGTTTGCCTCGTATTGGCCAATCAATAACTATTCGTGACATGCTTTAAATCGTGTGTCATGTAATCCATGTGCACAGTTTTTGGCCCTATATGCTCTGCTTCGTACTGTGTCTTGTCCTGCCTGACAACGGTCTGGGGGCGTGCTTTGCTTGACTTCGTTACTGTGTTATAGTCGCATTGCAGTGAAGTGTCGGTTCGAGGTTCCGGAGGTTTGGGGTGGTATCCTTTATTAATTCACATGGATGTCTTTCTAAAGTTTAAGTCGCTTCTTCATGTAGTCAGACTGAGCTTATGCGTAAATTATTTGGAAATCATAGTGAGACTACGAAGATCGGCAGATGCATGCCTATGGTCGCTTCAGTGCCGAAAATAATAACTAGAAGTGAAATATAACTAAGTGATGCAAACGTGCAAACAAACGAAAGTAAAAAACGAGAATCATGTCTTTATCTCCAAAGCAACCTGAGACTGACCGATAGTTGCTCTTGAAAGCAAAGCTCCGGTTTGATCCGGTTCATCGCAACCGCCGCAACGAAGCGGATGAGACAGAAATTGGTATGCCGCAGTAGAACTTTGAACGACGTGCTGATCTCGATCCGGTGACCTGAGATCAATAAATGCCTGTCGATCGAAGATGATGGCGGCCTGTGTGAATGCGTTGCCTGAGCTGGGCATGCCTGTTGAGCCGCCTCGTGTTGAAGCCACTTCGGAACGTGTTCCTTCATTCGGGTACTCAAGGTCCTATCGGTTCTGCCTATATAACAAGCTACGCAGTTACAGAAAAGCCACGTAGTCCGGCCAGCACCGGTACTTTCCAGCTCTACACCAGTGGGGTACAAACGGACGCTGGTGAAGACCTTATTTAGTCGTGCCAGACGAATATGTTCGACCGATTGCCTGGCCGACGAACTAGAACTGATTAGTAGTATACCAATCGTAAATGGACACTCGTAGGTTCATCGAAAAGCATAGCCAAATCAGCCGAACAAAAGAGCTAGTGCTCACCATGCGAAAAAAGAACATATTCTTAGATCAAACGTAACTAGCCTCTTTATGTCGGCTGATTTAATGGGCCAAGTTTCACAACCATACAGTAGGGTCAAACGTAGACCTGCATTGTAAACTCTACCCAAGGAGACTGATGTCGCCCCTGCACCTTAGATGGCGAAGGTTAGCAAAACCACCTCCTGCATTTGCTATACGATTTGTGACCTCGTCTTCGATTCTACAGTCGCCCATACAATTACCTAGGCAGTTGGACTTCTGAACGACTTCTAGCTGATTCCCACCAACGGTCAGCGTAGCTTGGAGGAAAGCTTAGCACGTTGAGGGTGCAAAACAAATCCGGAAAGGGCTGACAACCAGCGCTAATCTCTCCAGTGCAACTTGGCACGTCTGTGAGCTATCACAGATGAGGGAAATATCATCAGCATATTTCAAGTCAAGAAGTAGTTTGCCTGGGAGCAGCTCCACACCTTCTATGTCATGTCCTGTGAACACAGTTTCCAGGATTTCGTCAATAGCGAATATGAAGAGGAAAAGGTGACAGCAGGCATTCCTGTCTTACATCGCTGGAGATATTGAAGGTCGGTAACAATTTGCCGTAAGCCCTCACTCTGCCGGAGCTACGCGCGTAAAGCGCTCGGGTAATGTTTGCATACTTCTCGGGCTCACCTTTACTTCCGGTAAAGATACTAGATATCAAGGAGTTACTTTATGAATGTGAAGCGGATTTCATGAAGGCACGTGTGTGAGGATACTTAATTCCGTATAGGCGTTGTTAACCAAACATACGAGCCAGATGGTCGGCAGAGAAACGGAACGACAGAGAAACATTCGGCGAGAACCACGAGTGGTGGTGCTCAAAAAGCTGAAGAGTAGAAGGCGAGCGATGTGAAACGCACCGTCAACAGAGTCCAGTCATGCAACTGTTTTCGGAAGATCGAATCGCGGGAACGGCCTTGGGGACCGCGAGCTTGCCGACGAATGACAGAGAACAGTGTGGAGCATATGGAGCGTAGGGTACGAATTCGGGCACAATGAATTGGGTCAGGATCAGAATCCAATACTGTAGGAGGAGCATAAGAGAGAGTTGTGGAACAGCAGCAAAATTTGCCAGAAAATGATGCGTAGACGTAGTTTGATAAGCACTCAGTTCAGTTCGGTTAATCAAATATGATATAAAAAGGGAAATGATGTTGGCAGAGTCACTGAATTTCATCATGCTGGTGATAACAAGAGTGGAGCCAAAACAGTGACTAGGAAGCGGTTACAAATGTGGGATTAGTGGTTACAAACAAGAAAACACGGGGACAAGTAATCGAGATGATGACATAGAGCGGCCACAGTTTAAACCAACATTCGCATCGAGTGAGTGATTGTGACCAGTGGGCATAAAAGACAAACAAGCGATCGAGTTCCTTCGTGCAGACAAAAGCAACAGCGACAGTGCCACATACACCACAGAGTGATCAGATCTGTCAATTAGGTCAACATACCGCAAGTTGTTACTATGAGGAACCAATACGGGAAGAGGATGATTGGCTCACTTAGGTGAACCGCTATATGACCTCTCACCAATTAACGAACCAAATATGTTGAAATGTTTCGGAAAAACGATAGCTCGATTTGGTTGCCCAGTAGTTGAGTTTCTTGCCCAGCTGGGTAATTGGATTGCAGACGTTTCGTCACTAATCGTGGTGGCTTCATCAGTGCAGTAGTGGTAGCAGTTTGGTATCAGATGTTGGCAAAACAAAAACCCGGATTTGTGTTTTGCCAGCGTCTGTTACCGAATCACTACCTCTACTGCACTGATGATGTCACTTGGACTGGTGAGGGAACGTTGTTGGCAATCCAGTTGCGCTTGCACGCGGGTAATTCAACTATCGAACCAAACATGTTGCAGAAACATGGGTAAAACCGAGTTCGCTTTGAAATCACCAGTCACTCATAAAAGCGATGTGATGATGAGTTAGGCGGACGAAACCAATGAAGATCACGACACGGTTTCGAGAAGCGAAGTGGGTCTAGGGCAAGTCACGCGGAAAGATGATGAAATCAGTTCGCCATCCACGACACCGGTTGTCACGTGATGCAGGACAACAGACGAAGTGAGTTTGCATCACGACACAGGTTGTTATAGCGCAGACATGAGCGGGGCTGCAGTCAAACATTGGAGACCGCGAACACATTTGAACGTGAGTAGAAAGGTAACGTCAACCGGTCCAATAAGGTACAGTCGGGAGTGAGGACGAATGACCTACAAATTCAACAAGGTTCGGTGCTTAATATAAACCGGTCCAGGAAATCTGCTGGACTGGGCTGGACAGCGCAACACGCAGAGCGCAGAGGCAGGACAGCGTTTGAACACATTGGGAGATTGGCCAAGAGGAGCATACACAGCGTCGCAGCTCGGCCAGGATTAATGCATGAGGCGGTGGCATGTCCACTGCGCGATGGTCGTCAACGTTGCCTGGGGGTGGGGGTACAGATCATAGAGGAGTACCGAGTGAGCAGTAATCGTATAGTCTAGTGACAAATACTCGAGCGACGAAGCAACGGACGTCGTTTGAAAGTGAACTCTGCGTTCGCCATGCGACAACCTTAGCGACACTGTTGAAAAGGAAAACTAGATATGCCCTATTGTTTGGCTCAGTGCATGGTCGGATGACCAACCATCTTCATTACACATAAGCTGAAGGTGGGAAACACACTTCAACTGCAGATGACCAACTAAGGATGCAATGAAGGGACGAAAACGAATTGGCAGGAAAACTAGACCAGTTTTATGTAATTTCTGTTCCATAAAGGTTTCTAATAAATCGTCCACATCAGGAGTCAGTGATGTCTCCCAATAAGACATAATGGCGAGACGAGTGCTGTGATTTTATAAGGTAAACTGCTTCTAGCTTTTAATCCTTTCAACAATCCACTGAGCTGCTGCGTTTTTCGATTTATTTTGAGAATCAGTCGTGCAACTGCATCCTTTCATGAGCTTTCTTCCGTATCTACGAGTTGTCGATATCAGTTTGGCGGCACAGATCATGGCAACTGCATCACACGAGCAGTACGGCTGGGTAAGTGGAGTGAAATAAGACGTCATTGCATCAAAATAGGTCAAGTTAGAGGACGCTGCAGCGATCTGGTGCCCCGGTTTGTCTGAGTATGGTACGTAAAATATCAAATAAAACTGGTATTTTATTATATACACTTAGATGCCTGAAGCAGAATGTTGTGTTTATCTGTCTGGCTCATGGACATCACACGCACACGGCGCTACGGTTGAATTCGCCACGCAGCTCCGCCAAACGGTACCTCCGTCGCCGTAGCTTACATAACTATCACGCGTCGTAACGGCGCCGCAGTTGTAACCAATACACGAGACTATTGTGCACCCAACAATAAACTCTCGGCCCGTCAGTTGAAAGCCTTTTCCTCAATTATTTGGAACGGTACTCACCAGTAGCCTGACGGACACGGCAAATCTATTAGCCACGCACTAAAACGCTTGGGTACAAATATTGGCGCAGCAACAATGGGAGCCGGATAAACGCATTTAAATAGGATGAACCGAGCTAAAAAGTGGCACTCGGAAAATTAGCAAATACGTAGGCCGGAGTTTGCAAAATAAACAGAAGCACTAAAAGCACTCCGACCCGTGAACGGCACGGTGAATCGCGTAAAAGGACGTATGCGCTTATGATACCGAAGTGGTGAGCAAGCAGGAGGGGCTGGAGCATCGTAGGGGGTTTCTTCACGACTAGATCCTGTTACAGAGTTACTGTTATTTCGCACCCGGCCGGAGGCCAACCGGCCCTGGTGTCTGGCTTGCGACTTACAAGTCACCGGTTCGAAACTGGGTGGATGCGGGAAACCCCTAACTTACCTGAGACTGCTGATGGTCGGCCGAAAGCGAAATTTCGGTACGACATACGGGCGCACTGGTGATGCCTGTCTTGCACATGAAAAAGCGATGGACGTCGATTCGTCCTGCCATGGGCTTGGCAGTGGTGAGTATTCCACCAATCGAGTTCGCCAGGATCCGAATCAATGACTGATCATTTTGTAACCAGCAACCACTACTGAACATCTGCACACCGTTAGCATCAACAACCACCTGGAAGGCATCAGCAGTAAACCGGTACGCAGTATCGACGATTCGCTGCCACGCAACTACCACGAGTCGCAAATGGGCTAAAGATACTGCGAGGGTCGGCCGGTTCCTACGCAGACTCCAAGCCGCGCTATCGAATCACAAGACAGACTTGTGGTCCTTAATGCTAGGAGCCATCAGATAGTCGATTTGGCAAGAAATTGCACTTTTGAAGCCAACACTGCTGGCCGCATGACAATAAAGTGTATGTCAGTGAGGAATGATATGACTAAATCATGCTGACAACGATGAATGGTTAGATAAACTCACGGTTGACCGGTTCGGAGCCAGCCTCTTTGCGGTAACTCGGGCTAGACGTAAGCGCGGACAATAAGTGCTCGTTTATTTGATTTCTGTAATCCAAAGTGGGAGGACATTGAAGGCGAGGAAGCCATGAAATAGAGTGATATAAGGAGCAGAAACAATTCTGAAAAATCGACGCGGCTCCACATGTTTAAGTAGATTGGGAAGAGTAGCGCTTGACATCAATAAACACATGGTAGAACTAAGGGCATGGGGAAATTGCACAATTGGATACGAAAATGGGGGAAGTGCTCTGTGTAATTTGGAAAGGACTATGCCTGTGGAAGACCGGGTCCCCGCACGGTCAGTACACCACCAAGCAGATCGTGGGAGATGACAGCGTGAGAAACCAGAGGTAACAATGAGGAAACCGAACCACTTAGACTGCGGAGAATCTAGTTAAAACACTTCAGAAATTCCATTGTTTTCTAACAATTAGTAAGCGCGGAGACTTGTAGTGAGAGAGGTCTTAGCTCTGGAGCCAGCCCTCTCTTTTTCACGCACATCATATACGTGGCAATGGAGGACGGCAATGTTTTATTGCAGTTAGCAATAAGATACGGCGTCCTATCGTCGTTACTAAATGCTCAGTGACTCAAGCCGCTAACTCGGAAGAGCGGAATTATTGCAGGGCGATTCCCACAGTTCTGTAGTGATATGTAGGTGGCTGGAAAATCCAGATAGATGGAAAACGTGGTCCAATGCTCTGCCGAGTGCGAGGTGGCTGTCAGGTTGAGTATACTTACGATGAGTCTGTTCAATGGTAGAGGCAGTAAAAACAGAGAGATAACACAAATAAGTGGACATAAAATGAAGCTTAGAGGCAAAAGAAGGTGCCTGTGTGTGTGTGATAAAACGAACACAGTGAATTACCGCAGCTGCGACAGACTGTACGCGACGGATGGTAGTTCTTCGAAAACAACCCAACGAATGACGCCCTCGCTTTCCGCGAGCTCGGTGACTGCAGAGTGATCCAATTCGGCCTCTTCATATTCGTACTCCAATGATACGGACACGCCATCTTTACACTTTCCCTGAAAAATATAGACTGTTAGTAAATCAAGTGGCTTTGGGACCTAAAAATGTAATGTGTGATGAAAAAGAGAACGGCGCAGCACGAGATAGTTTCTGTGAAAAGATGAAGTGGTGGGCAATACTCATGATTACGGATTGTACTCGGGGTGTAGGTAAAGGTTTCAGTCAGTCAATAAAGGTTATCCGAGAGTGTGGAACACATCTCAGCTACTGCGCCGCAATACGAAAAAGGATAAGAGATTAAACATTACAGAACATAAAGTAAAGGTTTCACTCTATCGTCAAACCGATTGCTTTGCAAACCTGTCATGGGAACGGAACGTATCCACAAGGTCCCAAGCTGAAACCACGTGAGTCACTGAGACTCACATTCAGATCAGTATACATGGTCGATCAGTCTCCACACTCATGAAACATTCACTTTTTTGATCAACCTTCATTTTGCCAGCTAACCTTCGCAAGTACCTACATAAAGTTTATGAAATATTCCGCTCAGTGACCGTTGGCATATTCACATAATACCGAACCATCTCCAATTCGGATACGGTCCTTTTGATTCTGATGACCGAGGTCTACTTCAAAGTGAACTGAGGTTTGAATGGAGATTGCATGTTGCAATCCAACCACATAGTGGGTACTCCAAATACAACTGTGGACCGATTCACTCGCTTCCAGGGTTTGCTTACGCAAACCATTTTATGTGAAAAAGCACACATTTCCTAATCAGGGGTATATAAGCAAACCTAAATGACGCTGCAATGACCAGTAAAAATGTGTGTTGCGAACGGTCAGTCTTTTGTTCTTCTCTCTCGGAGTCGGGTAGTCGCGTGTGAAGTTTGCGTTCGGTCTAGGAACCCGTTTAGCTTGCGCGTAGGAACCGTGTTGCGCCTAAGGCTCACGAGTCGTAGAAATTCGAATTCGGTCGGCTACTTTGTCGTGCGGGGATACAATTCTGCAAGACATCCGTTCATCCGACTGGGCAAGTCGATATCAGACCGTGGCGTAGCCAAGAGGCAGTCATAGCAAAACCATGAGAGTAAAGCGCGAGTCTCTGAAAATCAAAAACCCCTCGAAATAAGCACGTGACAGTACGAACAGAATGAACCACAGACGTATCAGCCAGCATCGCCATCAGTATAGACGTTAGCTGCAAGTGGAAAACACCTCAGCTATTGTGCCATAATACAAAAAGCGCAACAGAGACACGCCGGCTGAGTCATCAGTAACGGATGGACATGATTCCGCAGAGCTAACAGCCGGGAATATATATATATATATATATATATATATATATATATATATAAGCAGTCTATTAGACATAGAGCTAGCGAAAACCATGAAATGGAAGTGATAATTACAGAGACAACGAAGACGGAAAAAAAGGATGAAAGTTACAAAAAAGATTTTCCGTGTTTGATTCTTGTTGGTCGATTTTGTTCTTTTTTAACAAGCCGCTTTGTCTTTTTGTCCGTTTAATGTTTGTGATGTAGAACAAGAAAATCGAGATAAATATTCATTAACTTTTTCCATTGTGCCCGGCTCTGCACAATGTCCGAAAGAGTTTCCAGCCAGCGATGTGCTTCATCTTTGATATCCCAGCCCGGAAGAAGTAAGGGACCTACGACAGTTAAACGGGAAGTCAGCGCTTAAAAAGTTTGTCGTCACGTGACAGGTTGACCACCGCGGGATTTCTTCCAGCCAGTGCGAGCAAAGAGAGCGCGACGGGACAGCCGTTCGCATGGCATGTGTAAGACGTGGCCCAGCCATATCAGTTGGGGAAGCGGTATCAGTCTGTCAAGTGGAAGGCCCGTCTAACATCGTCATTGCAAACATGGTGCATACACCACACTCGAGCTATTCGGCGCGGACATCCGTTGTCGAAGACCGAAATTTCACGCAAGTTGCTCACGCGAATCGGTCAGGACTCACGTCCATACAGCAGCACCGCGCGAATACACGCATTGTAGACCCTGCCCTTTACTAATAGTGAAATGTCACAGCGTAGACAGATGCCTCAGGTTGGCGAACGCCGAACGCACATTGGCAATAAGGAGGGAAATCTCTCTCCCAATGCTACCATCAGTAGGACACAGATTCCTAGGGAAATAGTTGTCAAGCAAGCAACCTACAACGAGCTAACAGCTTTGTTCTCTAATATCCACTTGGGGCGAGTCAATTGGCGTCCCGACTATCAAGAAAGGCGCCCGAAACCAACGAGCTAACCACCGAGGGATCACTCTAACGTCCGTTGCCGGCTATTGTGCCGCAAAAAATTGTTATGACTAATAAATGAGATCGTGGTTGGGGGGAAGGCGAAGTCGGAGGAGTACGGACAAAGAAGCTCACAACGCAAACGCCATTGGGATCGGCTCTTAGCCATATCAACAAGTGTGTCCAGCCAAACGTGTTCATAGTCTTCCGGTACAAAAATAGGGAGGCGAAAGGCTCCAACCTACACCAAGTTCGAAGTAGGGGCCTTCATTCTTCTTGACAAAGTCATCGCTTGACCACGTCTCCTCTTCTTCTATCCACACCCCCGGCGAGCAAACAATGCACGTCGCAGGAGCCGGCAGACTGGCATGCGTAACACGTGGCCCAGTCATCGGAGCCTGGTGCGTGAAATAACGGTGCTGAGCGATACGCTTCATCTTCATGTGCTATACACAAGGTGTCGAACACGCTCGTCGTTCACACCGTGCTCCCACCAGGTGTGAGCCAAACTGCGAAGGCACCGGTCGTCGAACGCAACTAGCCTCTTTATGTCGGCTGATCTAATGGGCCAGGTTTCACAACCATACAGCCGGATCGAACTTACACCTACAATGTACACTACCCTTCAGGAAGAGAGTGATGTCGCTCCCGAGCCTTAGATGACGAAGATTAGCAAAATCGCCTCCTGCATTTGCTATACGGTTTGTGACCTCGTCTTCAATTTCACAGGCGCTCGTACAATTACCCAGGTAGTTGAACCTTCGAAGGACTTCTAACTGAACCTCAACGACGGTCAAGGATGGAGGCGGTCCCTGCCAAACTTGGAGGAAAGCTTTGCACTTTGAGGGTGCAAAGCGTGGCCCGAAACGACTGACAGCCAGCGCTAATCTCTCCAGTGCAGCTTGGCAAGTCTGTGAGATATCGTAGATGTGGGCAATATCGTCAGCATACTTTAAGTCAAGAAGTGATTTGCCTGGGAGCAGCCCCAAAGATTCTATGTCGTGTCCTTTGAACACGATCTCCATCACTTAGTCAATAGCGATGTTGAAGAGGAAATGCAACAGTGGGCTTCCTTGTCTTACACCGCTGGAGATAATGAAGGGCGTCGACAGCGTACGGTAAGCCAGAACTCTGCCCGAGCTACGCGCGTAAAGCGCTCGCACAACATTTACAGACTTCTTGGGCACACCTTTCCATGGCAGAGTCCCAAATAGGCACATACATATATAGCACTTTGGATGTCGAGGAACAAGACAACGGTGGGTAGTCAATATATTTGAAGTTGCCCCACAAGTGACGCAATGTTAATGTGCGGTCGATGCATCCCTGACCATGACGAAACCCGGATTGCTCCTCACGAATCTAGCTTTCACGAGTGCCAGTCAGTCTGTGAAGGATTACGGAGGCAAATAAGTTGGAGGCGATGGGGATCATAATGATTGCTCTATGGTTGCCGCATTCCGAACACGAGCCTCCTTTGAAAATCGGGACAATAATGGAACGGCTGTAGTCAGTTGGGACAGTTTCCTGCTCCCACCGTTTCTTTAGTAATTCGTGTAAATCATCAACAAGAGCAAGGCCCCCGAATATTAAGAGGGTTAGATGAAGATCTTTTTCAGTAGTTCAATCTCATGTTCGAGTTCTGAATGAGGGCGGATCCAAAGAGACAGCGTACGGAAGAGTGCGATCAGTAACCAACGACAAATCCGACAATTTCGATCGACGAAATTGCTTTTCAAAGTGCTCAGCCCAATGCTTCAAGCATTTTGACAAATTGAAGATAGGCTGTCCACTCTCGTCACATATACTTTCACTAACAACAGGTCTCCTGTTACCCGTTTCTCATATCAAACGGAATAACTTATGGTGGTTACAAAGACCAGCAGCCACTTACATTTCTGAAACAAGATGAGACCAGCAGGATTCGCGGTCTCCATCCAGACTAGCGTGTAATTTTGCCCTGAGGATTTTGTGGGTCGCATTGTGTTCACTTCTGGCATGAACATGCCGGCGAGCATCGAAAAGTTCCAGAGACCACGATAAGACGCAATGTCCATGTTGGATTTTAGAATTACCACACGGTGATTTACCTGCTCCTAGTAAGGTCTGGTGAACATTCGACTAGTGAACAACTGTAGTCAGTGAGCGCTTGCTCAACCTGAACGTCAGCGTAATTCGATAGGCATTCAGAACACCTGATTTCGCCAGTTTGCTGGTGTCTATGTACTCATAGGGTAGTCGACTGCGATCACCCACCCACCACCCTGCTGGAAGAAGCAGATAGAACACCATTTATTTTCTTCTGAGACGGCCAGAGCATCAAGAAATGGTTTGAAGGTAAGGTCATTGTAATGCACGGAAAGGATACTATCAGGTTGCCCAAGTCTAGGCAGGAGAACGATTAGGGTTCTCAACTATAGCATTCGGTTGAAAACCTGACCGCAAGGCAGCGGGTTTGGCAGTGGACTACAAGTCTGTTCCAAGGAACAAGGAGTCACCGGCAACCCAACTCACAACCTGGGGGACCAGGAGACTGAGTTGGTCTGGCTTCTAAACATTGACCACTGTGGTATGATTGACTCCAAAGACGCGAAAAGCACCACCCAGCACAACTCGATCGATCACTGAAACACGCAAATCATCGCACCATGGTAAGGACCAGCCTCAATGCGCTGGGCTTGACGCAGCCAGTGATGCGAGAGTACTATGCGCGCAAAGGTACAAAAAGCTGATGGAAACCGTCTTCAGGGTAGATATGTAGAACAGGAGGCGGAGCGATCGACGGAGACGGACGAGGTCCTTAAGGCGAGGAATGTAGCTATAGTCGGTTTATAGGACGTGATTTGTCACCAATAATGCACATATGAATGCAAAGCAGAGATGAGAAAGAAGCCAAAATATCCACTACACGAAATCCGATTTATGCTTTAGTGTATTTTAGTGTTCCACCTAACAAGTGGATGCCGCATTACTTCCTCAATCAGACGAACGAAGTTGTATAGCACAAAAGCATTGTTGATACAGTGTTTACAGGCATGTGGGAGAAGTGTTACACTGAAAGAGCGTACCGTGACGGAATTACACTTTTTTCGCACGTCCCACAACTTGTGTGACATCTGCTCTATTTCAGCATTGACCATCCGAAACCGATCCAGTGCATGACTCCACTGATTCCAAACGTGAGCATAATGGAGCAACAACACTTCGAAAGGATCCTTTTCGGTGTTATCTGAAGCAGAACCCCGCCTCACACCATCAACTTCCTCGAATCAAATTGATAAAACAAGGTACCTCACATACTTGCAGGAATTCTTCTTCCTTGGTGCTAAGGCTCTCCAGAGAATGACTAATGTACAGATTACGCAAGTAGTCATGGGAGAGGGCAGAGGGTAGGACGCATTCCACACAGTCAACTTTCTCAAGAGTCGAGGGTTGAGCAGGGGATGTTTCGGTAGGTTTGTCTTCGGACAATGTCTCGGCGATCATAGCAACAGGCAAATCTGGTGCATCGGTATCCACCAAATTAGGATAAAGCAAACCATCTGACGTTTGATTAACCTCTTCTGAAGTATGTACAGTACTCTCATCCAACTGCTCTGCTGCTGCTTTTTGCTCCGTGAACGTAACTGCTTCCGATTCGGAAGCGCAGATAACGGAGTTCACGGGCCCCGAGTCATCATGCGCTGCTGAAACAGGAGTGTCAGGAACGGCAATCTGTTCTAAGCGGGCTATGAGGTCAGAAATCTGTAACATAAGTGAGAAATCTAAAGAAATGTTACCTTTACTTTCGCCTTTTTTGACTTTTCCGCTTCCGCTATCATCTTGAGTTAGGACAAAATCGCGCAAAGAGATGCCTGCGGTGGCATCAAATCTCAAGACAAGGGCATGAAAACCAGTGGGGATTTTCTTTTCAACAGCATGAAAAGGGAAACGAAAATATATCAGAAAATTGGGAGATGCAAAATGAACAATAGCGACAGAGTAAACATGAAAAAAATGTCAGCTGTACGCCGTAACGGCGCTTCGCTGCCACGGGACCACCACCAGTCGCGCGCGAGCTCAGTATAGCGCGAGGACGCCCATCCCGACGTGGATTCAAACCGGGAACCTTATGGTTGCAAATCAGGTGCGCTGATCACTCGGCCACCCGCCGACAAGTCAACATCAAATAATGAACAGAATTAGTAGTCTTATTCTGATGAAAAGGAGCGTCAGAAGGATTCCGGAAAAGTGCGCATTACATTTTGATCACGAAACATGGGCAAGCAGTACGTTATATTAAGGTAGTTTTCGACAAAAACTAAGTGGACAGGATGATTCTATGTGGTCCTGAGCTGGATAGGAGATAATAACCACTGGTTTACGCGGTCACATGGTATGGGCGAACCGAGGCAACTGACGTCAAAGCATGTACTACAGACTAGGAGAATGCAAACATTTAAAAATCAATGCAATCAACAAAGGGATTAGAAAAAAACTGGATAGTAAGATATTGGGTGTTACTCACAGGTAAACCCTACAGCCAATAATTATCTCCTTCAGTTACGATCCCAGCTACCGAGTCGACCAGATTTCGTTCCAATGCGAATCGCGGTCCACATTGAGAATACATGTCGCAATCACTAGTGTTAAAAAAGGCCATTCCAATCATTCCCAATAATAGTGGATGCATGGTTTCACAACTTCCCATGTGCTAGACAGAATAAGCCCATCATCAGTAAGACAAAAAGAAAGCCTACCATTCCATAATTTACTCTTCCCAATATCTTACTTAACCACCCAAACACAAATCATCTTCTAAAACTATCTTTATATCTCTCTATCATCTAAAAAACCACCTCAACACCAATA